AGGCCTGTGGAGAGAATCCAGCGGCAGTTGCTCTTTCTTACAAAGAGTTAAGTTTTTAAAAGTTGTCAATAACACATGACTGCACTAGAGAGGCTGTGAAAGGTACAGAAACATAAAAAAGGAGCGTTGCCAGTGCCCCGGGCCCCCGAGGACAGCGCTGCTGTGCTTTGGCGGCCTTCCTTTTCCGTCCCTTTTTCTACAGACGGGGTTTTTCTTCATTTTCAGCAGTGCTGTCATCATGCCACAGACAGAGTTTAACCTCTCTTTTTAGAAAGAAAAAAGCATAGTAGTACGTTGTTCCCTTACATGTATTTTGATTTTTAAGCAGACGGGTTTATTTCCAAAGCCGGGAGGCTCACGGGACCTTGCACGAGAGGGAGGGAGCAGCAGGTGTCAGCTCACCTGCCCGAGGGGCACGTGGGAGCAGTGGCACCTGCTCACCTGCCACCAGGAGCCAGGGCACCTGCGGGAAGCGGGGCTGTGCCGGGGTTTGGAGAGCGGGGTCCTTAACCGCTCAGCCCCGCACAGGAGGGTACAGGAGGGAAGGGCTGGAGGGCTCTGGGGGGGCTCAGGAGGGCTCGTCTATGGCGTGCGCTTCCCCACGGTGTTCGAGACCCTTCGGAACGAACCCTTCGTGCCGGTTAATATTCCACTGTGTGAATATTAGCTCACGTTGTGTGTTACGGACTTTCCCCCACACTGTCAGATGTTTAGAAACCACTACAGAGTGCGCTGTAGTGTCTGCCTGCTTGTGGCTGCCCTCTCTCCACTTTTTACACTTTTAAAAAATTACACAAACAGCCTACATCGGGTCATGAAAACTTGGAGAGTGCAGGTCGTCATGAAGAAAGAAGGCAAAGACGCCCGCCACCGCCTGCGGGAAACAGGTGTGCGGAGCCCTCGCAGGGACGCAGGGATGGCCGGGGCAGTCCCGTGCGCGCTCCTGTGGGTGACACCCGGCTGCCGCTGGGCAGCCAGGTTAGCAGCATGGTTGCTTCAGTTAATGTTTTGTGGTCGTAACAGTTTCAGGCCTGTGACAGGGATCCCAGTGCCGCTTCTCATGGCTGCGTGGCATCCCCTTACGCCGACAGACTCTAACATTGTACGTAACCCTCTGTCAGTCTCTTCAATCCACACAAAAAGTCACCCACACGAGTGCGTCGTGGCCGCCAGGTCAGCCCTTCTTTTGGTTTGACTTTTGCAAGAGTTTCAGGGGCAGAACTTTGACTCCGGTTCAGGACCACGGATCGGCGTCACCAGTTGGTTTCGTGTGGTTTCCCGCCTTCTCTAGAGAAAAAGTTATTCGAGTCCCAACCACACAGCCTGAATTGGACAGTAAAGCGCTGCTGGGGGTGGCACTTGCTGTCGAGGTCCCTGATTGAGCTGGGGAGCCCACGCTGTTTCCCAAAGTGACAATGCCCCTGACCTTGCCCAGCCTTAGCCGACATCAAGGGCGACCCGCAATGGGGGTGAGCGCCGTCTCCTCGAGCGCCCGCCGGGCCTGCTGCCGCCTCCTTCCAGCCCATTACTTCTGCCGCACTCATTGCATGTCCTCTAATGGCCACTTCTGTCAACATGGGCTTGAGGACAAAGCAAATGTTAGTGTATTGATTGGAGCAGCCTCTCTAGGGTTTCCCAACATCATCTCCTGGCTTGGTGCTCCCCACCCCACTGATAACGGGCATTACGGCAAGTGCTCGCTCTGGGCCCGATCTCCCGTCTGGGTTACAAAATTATCAAAGCGAGATTAAGAAATCTCAGTAACAAGGACTCCTGTTACTGTTACTTCTATCACCAGCAGCTACCGCATTAACTCCAATTTTACAGATATTACGCGTTTAGGTCTTTACATACAATATTTTCAAACCTTGAAAAACCTTGCAAGGTAGGTATGAATTATAGCCATATCACAGGTGGAGAAACTGAGGCTCGGCAGGACTTAGAAACTTGGCTTTACTCCAGTCGGATGAGTGAGGGAGATGGGATTGGAATCTCCACAACACCCATAGCTCCTCCACATAGCCCCCTCCAAGCCCTGGGACTATCTTGGTGCTAATTCTCTATTCTATCCATTGGCTGGAAAATCAGGTCTCCAGCTTTTGAATTCAGGCTTTGCATTGAATAGGTTTTCGGCAAGTAGCACCAGACATTGGGTTATTGTCCTAGTGCCCAATTCAAAGACTGGAACATTGGGACTGTAAGAGAGAAAGTAACTTTTCCAACTACACAAAATTAATCAATAGAGAAGGCAGAGTGGTGACCAGAACTCAGCCCCCAGAAGGCTTCTCCCACTGGGTGTTTTGAAAGGCAAATGTAAATAACAGTTCCTGTGACTATTTCTTCAGGCAGAGGCAGATTTATTTCTGTAGAATTTTATATTCTACAGTGATTTGCACCCAGTGAAATGGGACCTGGCAAAGAAGTCAGTAAATCAATCCTTAAGCTTCCCTGTGAGCCTTGGCCTTTAAAGTACTTGTAATTTTGGGTCACTTTTTGTCATTTCAGTTAGATTTTCTTTCCAGAAACTTGTAATTTATTATCCCAGCAATATGTTCTGGCTTCTTTCAGATGCACTGTCATTTCAATGTTGTTTTTCTTTTTTTTTTTTGGCTTCTTTCAAAGTTCAGAATCATACGTCATTTTTAAGCCTGACTTCAATCACTCTATACTGCCCGCAAAGAATGGAGCTGAGCTCTTCTTTCCTCATTATTTTTAAATGAAATTCTTAAATAACCCCTTGGTTTAGTTAATTCTTTTAAAAACTTTCTTTAGATGAATTAATAAAGATTTAAATACTGAAATCTGGCAGACAAATTCCAGATTTTATCTAGGTCTTGGAGTAGGTACTTATAAAGAAGGTCAAGGACAAGAAAGGTCCAACACTGGTTACTGTATCAGTTAGCTCTTGCCACGGTAATGCTGCATAACAAACTATCCAGACTTCAATGGGCTCCAACAATAAGCACTGATTCTTCTCTCTTCTGCCTACAGGTTATCTGGAGGTCCTGGGATCTAAGCTGGGCTCAGCAGACTTGGCTAGGGTTCACAGTTAGGTTTAATATTGCTCCATTAAATTTTCCATTTTTCTGGAACCACTGAGCTACCCTTGGGAGCTCTTCTTATGGCAGAAAAAGGCCCAGCCTCACAAGCATATTTCAAGCCTTTGCTCAAGTCACATCGGCTAACATCCCATTGACCATAGCCAATAGCATGGCCAAATACAAAGTTGAAGAGCAGAGAATTACACACCAACCATGGGCCAAAATAAGTCACATGACCTAGCCCAACATCGTGGAGCAGGGCAGTACACCCCTCCACGGAGGCGTGGAGGCGCAAGTGAATATTTGCCGAAGAGTCATCTTCGACCGATGCTCTCCGGAAGCTCCATGAAAGGTAAATCCTATAGTGAATGGAAGTTACATTGTGTCACTTTCCAGTCCCAGGCCTTAAGAAACTGGCAGATTATACTTTCTTTTTCGTGGGGGCCCAGCCGCCATGTTGAAGGGAAGCCCAAGCTGCCCATCGAGAGGCCCAGGTGGAGAGGAACCCGCAACCAGAACCATCTTACCAGCAACGTGACTGAGCCTCTTGGGAAGCAGATCCTCCTGCTTCAATCCAGCTGCCCCAGCCGATGCCACGTGGAGCAGAGACAAGCTGTCTCTACTGAGCCTGGCCCAGATTGCAGATTTGTGAGCAAAATAAATGATTGCTGTTGGTGTGAGTTGCTCGGTTTGGAGCGGCTCAATAGGCAACAATAGATGAATGGAGTGGCCAGCTGGAAGAGTTTGGTTTTTTTCTGTGGGTTACAACCAGAAAGGGCAGTAGCAGAGAAATTAAACACTTAGATCTGGGCTCGGGTTGTCCTGGTCCAAATCTCACTTTGCCACTTGCTAGGTATGACTCTTGAGCAAGTTGTGACATCTCTCTGCACTTCAATTTTCTCACTTGTCAAATGAGGAGAAACAGAAAAATAGTGCTTTTCATCAGGTTGCTGTGAGAATTAAGTGAGATTGTGTGTGCAACGTATTTAGCATAGTTACGGACAGTGAGCCCCGAGTTTGCACATGCTGGCCACTCTCATCAATGCACAGATGGGCTTCTGCAATAGGCTATGAGGTACAGAGCTGCAGACTTGGAACTAGCTGAGTTGAGCTGGGGTGGGAAGAAGTGAGGGTCCCCTGACTCCAGTATGGGATGCTGGCAGGCCGTTTACATACCGGGACAAACACAGTCCATTAAACTACCTCTCATTGTCAACCCGGAGCAGCCCATGTGGCCCAGGGTGAAGCACTTGGGGCAGATCAGCAAAATACCAGAGCATTTCAGGGGCTGAAGATCATCTAAAGACCTTTGTATTGGCTCAAGAAAGGGACAAGCTCCAGGTAAGCTGGCTCGGCCACCTGAAAACAGACTGACAGCAACAGAACAC